TTTTAGCTTTTCTCATTAATTTCACAAAAATTTCTAAATATGTCTATTTGAACTGATACTTTGTCCTTGTACAAAATCATCAGTTATTATTCCTAAATTAATAGCTTTATAAATACCAACTATAGAGTCATTAATTTAAATAACAATTAAATTTTACTCAATGTATTTATTATGTATGAGTTTTCTCTGATTTGTATTTTTAAGATTTTTTGTTCTATTGTCGAGATATTAGTTAGACTGATAAATCTATCATCCTTAAGCCACTGAGAGGTGATTGAGATGTATGCTACGCTTATCCAACCACGGTCTAACAAAGGAGTAGATTGGAAAAGACTAGTTCTATCCAGAACAAGACTGTTTGTTTTGGGTTTATTGAGTGATGTAGAATTTCTGATAACAGTTCACTAGCTGAACTGGTGTATTTGTACTTTATTTTCATCTTAATTTTGCGTTGTAAGATTATTTCGTATTTTTTTTTTCGTTCCTTTTGATTTGTAGTTTCAATTTTCAGGTTTTCATTTCTGTGTATATTAATTTCTATTTCGACTCTTCTTCTTCTTCTTATCTTTGCATCAGTCATAATCCATTTTTACTTTTTTTTAAACGCGTATAACATACTGTTAACATTGAAATATCCCATTCAAATTATCGAGATTGCAAGAGCCTAGTTGTTATTTCATTCATCATGCACTACTATTACATCATCGATACTTTTTAATCTAGTTTTGTAGATGAAGGATATGTAATTAAAGCTAGTTTATTGTTAATGTATCTAATTACTAGAAAATTATTCACCTTCTTCTTCCCTGTAAGATAAACTACCTTTCGAAAGTGTTTACTTTCGATATATATACATTAATTTTCTGTCCTATTTATAGCACATTAGTTTATATTTAATGATCGATAATGTGTATTTCAGTTTACTGCTTTTTTCCCTCTATTGGCCGCTTCTTGATTTATTTTTTAATTATCATGTATGTTAACTGTTGAACGTGATATCATCACATAAAAATTGTTATTTATTTGGGATTTAAGTATTATAGTACTTGTCATTATATTTTGTCTTATTTTTTGAACATAATAATAAAACTCCAATTTAACGGCCAAGTTGTGAACTGCATTGGTCTCATTGTAGTTCTGAATAATTTGAAAATGTAACAGCCTTTAATAATTTTTCCTTTTACTCTAATTTATTGATTTTCAATAATCTTCAAAATGCACATTTTTAAATGATTACACTCTAACTAATACTCAAGGTTTTTTTCGGGCAGAGTTTTGGAGGTTTGTGTTTTTACACATTTGAAATCATCAGTCAGTCATTGTTAGACCACCATTAGAAACCTGGAAGCACTGGACGGCCGTCAAGTCCTGGTATTGGACTCATCAGCAGTGCGCATCCACGACTCCTGCACCTCGCGGGATTCTAACACGGGACCTTCGGTATTGTGCGCGAACGCCTAACCATTGGGACCACTGAGCCGGCATCCAATGGTTTTAATGTCTAACTCTGATTTATCAAGGGATTTCGCGCGACCACACCCATTTGTCTTTGGTAGTTACTGTCTACACCCGACAGGGTTGAACTCCATTGGTCACATCTTCTCAACTAGAACTCCGAAAATTTCCTCACGAAGCTAGTCACTAGTGAGCACTGTTACGATATTTCGGGGCAGAGTTTTGAAGGTTTGTGTTTTTACACATACTCAGTGTATTGGAGAATAAGAGCACACTACGAATAACGCATATTTTAAAGAAAAGTATATTAAGGCATACCTTTGTTTATAAGTTATATGCGTAGCAATTAACATTGTTTGAAATTGTCCTTTAGTTGTTTATTCATTGATTCGAAAGATTTTGAGACTTCAACATCATGCCCATTGTCGAGTAGGTGATGAGCAATCGTGCTGTTGAAAACCTTTTACCCGTTTAGTCTCTTTAGTCTCTTCTGGAATGTGTTTGGAAATGCGGACAAAAAGCATCTCTTTTGTCCTTCTGATGTATGTGCTTTGGCAGGCACATTTAAACTGGTAAAATACAATCGGGGGTAACATATGGCGAGTATTTGTCCATATTTAATGGTCTCAATCAGCATTCATTTTGTTATGGAGAGAGCTATTCAGCCACTCGATGCGCTCTTTTTAACGTTGCCTTCAGTCTAAAATCATTCGTTCCGGCCAATTTCATCACCTTGTTTGTTTGCCCGATTGTGATTAGACTGAAAAAATATCAACATTCCATGATATCAGTACTGTTAGTCTAAGTCGCATAAGGAAAGTTTATTCTTGCTTTGCGCTTTGATGCTTTAAATTTATGGTCGAAGACGCTGGATAGCATATTCCAAAATCATAGTGATACAATCATCCTTTAAGTTTATTTCTTCATTCACTCCCATTATTCTACTTCTGTCTGATATCTTGCCATTTTGATGATTGATTAAGGTATTTGGAAAACTTTCTCTTACTTATCCTACTTCTTTATGATAGCGCTTTTTCAGCAAGGTTCATTTGTATTGGTTAGTTACCCTACTCCCAATTCTTCTCTAACCGAACTCGGAAGCAGGAGTAACTTCAGGCGAAGTCAATATTTCCCTTACCGCTTCAAAATATTAATTTAAAACTCTCACACTTACATTATGCAATAAACTTTACATGTTAAAAGTTAAATTTTTCATTTCAGTTTTTCTGCTAACAAATAGATTGAATCATAATATCATGCATTTACTTTCCTCAATTGTTATTCATAACAAAATTGTTGAACAGATTTTAGTCATTGTTGAAACTTGCTACTCAATGATGAATTTATAAACAATTTTCCATGTTGCTTCATGACTTGTATATATAATGATCAAATTAAAGGTAACTTTTCATTTGTATATGTGTTTGGATGTGAGTCTATTGGTCTTTATTTGTACTTTATATTTCCTAAAAGGAACGTGCTATAAAATGGAAATCTGGTAACTCTATGGATGGTTTGACAACAAATGGTGTCATGATGTTACGAATTCCTCCGGCTAAAATTATTGAACGAACAAATCAAGCTTCAGGTATGTTTTATACGAGTATGAATGGAGACAGGTAGATATTTTACATATCAGTTCCAAATTCTGTTAAAATTTGATCACGCATTTCATAGAAGTATTGATTATTTAAAAACAACATTTTATTATAAATGCTGAGTTGCAATTAAATAACTATCCATAAGTATAGAGGTTTGTGGAAATTAATAAATGCTAGCGATACCACTAACTCATTCATTGAAAGCCAGGGAGCACTGGATAGCCGTGTATGTGACTCCTTAGCTGGTGACATCGAGGATATTGGAACCCTTACACTTCTGATGAGTCCTATTCTAGGACGAAACAGCCATCCAGTGCTTCCTGGTTTTCAATGAATGTCTAACTTGCATCAGCTCATGATAGCAGTAAAATGAATATTTATTAGCCAGGTTGTGGTCTAGTGATCAAAAGATTTAATTTTGAACTAATAATCTATAGGTTCGTTTTAAGCAGCCAGATAGCATTAGTGACCCTCGCATATACAGTGTGACTTTGAATCGAGGTACGCGAAATTGTATTTTGAGAACTCGTTAACTAAAATCAGACTGAATGGATATTAACATCATTTAAAGGACTGGAGAAATCAGAAGAATCATATGTCTTATTGAATTTGTGTTTAAATAGATTTCATATTCAAGTGTTACGTGTTGCGGATATACTAAAAGTCAATATTTTTTTCTTCTTGATTTCTACTGTTTTCAAACATTTACTTTAATCGTCTTGTAGACTTCAAAATTTACACATCGATGCACCCGTTCACATAAATAGCCTATAATCTATTCAAACCATGCAATACCTTGATATGGATACTCTTTTCCTTTTTCTCCAACCGCTTTCTGTGCTGACCAGCTCAGTATACTATGGTAATTAGTAGCTAGCCCTAGTCAAAGTTTCACTTAACTGTCTCACTTTTATAGATATTCGCCTGAAATAACTTCACCAACCTATAACCCAATAAACGATATGCCCATTTACTACTTTTGTCGTATACACCATACAAACTATTCTTACCGTTGACTATGTGATCCCCTAAATTCCTTGATTTCAGTTTGTGATATTGTATATGAAAAATTAATGTTCAGTATTTTATTCAGTACATGATTCTGTTTTACTTATCACCCACCATTTACATCTTCATGAAGTTAGTCTAGTTGTGTAATATTCCATAAGTAGAACGAACATTTGGCAGTTTTAATTTCATATTGTCGTCAACTAACACTGCCAAGTTGTGACTAACTGATGAATCATTGTGTCAGTTGGGTTTAAATTACCTTGAAAAAATATTGATTATATTTGACTTTAACGTTTAAATGTAGTGTTCAGCTTGAACATGTTAATATTTTTTATTCTAATTTGTTTACATTTGAATATATTCATTCATTTGATGGGTTGCGAATAGAAACGGAAAGAAAAATTCCTATCCCAATTGGTTCCACCCTTATGCGAAGCACTAAAATATCATTGGGAAATTTTACTATTAATAATTCTTGTGGTTTAATCGGTAATGAATTAATTAGTTGGTAGAATATTAGCTCATTTAATCACTAATTATACATTGATAACTAAGTATTAATTTATTGATCAGTAATAGTATCATTTAGGCTGTATAGGCTAATTAATTGCTTTATCTTTTTCTGTTTCTTGCTACATATATAAATACGGAATCTGAACTGCTTCTTCACAACTATGAACAGATCGTGAGTAAGTGAGAGAGGAAAAAGCAACAACACTTGTGTTATTTTTTTTTCTGTAATTAGCTTTTCCATTATTTTTTATTAAACCTTTAACTGTAAACATGCAATCATATTGGTGAATCGACGATACACATTGATTTCAGTGTTTAGTAACCTAATTGGTATATCATAAAACTCACATGATAATAATGTTGATTGGGTTGAATTTTATGGTATTCTTACATTTTCCTTTTTGACTAATCAGAATTACTATGTTGATACAAAGCATAAAACTAAGGTGCAATGTGGATAGAAATTATCAGATTACTCTTTAGATATGCAAACTGGTTCCTGGTGTATATGGTAAAATAATTAACTTTTAATAACTGATTACTAAACAGTAATCTGCTTTTATGTTTTTCTTTAGGGGATATTGTAGAAAATCAGAATAGAGGCATTTGTATAAGCTGTATACTTACTTATTTACGCCTGTCACCCCCAATGGAGCGTTGGCCGCCGACCAGCATTCTCTAACCTACTCTGTCCTGGGCTTCCTTTCCAGTTCTGTCCAATTTTTGTCCATTGTTCTCATATCTTTCTCTATTTCTTGACGTAATGTGTTTCTTGGCTTTCCTCTTTCCCTTTTATTTTGAGGGTTCCAAGTAAGGGCTTGTCTTGTGGTACAGCTTTATAGCGTTCTTAGTTTTAAATCACACACTGATCGTAACTAGACCATCATTGAAAACCTAGAAACACTGAACAACTGTTTCGTCTTAGTTTTTGATTCCTTAGCAATGAGCTTCAGCAACCCCGCCACAGGAAATCGGATTCAAGTCCTTGGAGCCACCATTGGATGCCGGGTTAGTGGTTTATAGGTCAGGCGTGCACGCACGATCTCAGCGGTCTGGGATTCGATCCCTTGTGTTAGGTTCGTGGATGCGACTTGCTGAGAAGTTCTACTCTAGGACAAGGGCTTCCTAGTTTTCATCGGTGATCTAGCTAAGATTAGTTCGTAATTCAAAACTATCCAAAACGATTGTGTTGTACCTAATACAGAAACTGTAACCGTAATAGTTAATGGACAGTGAATCATAAACTTAAATGCTACCCTCCTCACCTAATTCCTTTTTCCTAATTATCAAATAATGTGACTCAAATTCAATTACATAAACCTATACACATGGTAATTGAGTTATATTTGTTTTTTAAATCTTATTTTTCATGTTGAGCATCTGAGTGGCTAACGGAATCATCTAAACATTAGATCATTTCCAATTTATTGATTGATTTTTGATTATCTTTATCATACTTCATACAGAATATGTTTTGTGTTTCTCTGTCAAATGTTTTACATTTCAGTCTTGATATTCGGTCGAAATGGCGTGAAGTTAGTGTATGTGGTTCTGTATATGAAATGCGAAGCAATCGTTGTGTACCAACTAATCTGGTATGAAACATTTATTTGTTTTCTATGTTTGATACCCATTTATTTGTTTATTGTTTATTCCGTTTATATATATATATATATATATATATATATATATATATATATATTGTCAAAAGATATTAGTTCTGTGTGGGAAACATACTGCTACTGTACTTCACAGTCAGCAATTTTAATTTGCCCCTCTAATCTCATATAAATGATCTTTCCAACAGATGTATCCACGATTGTACAGAATGAATTGTCAAATGTTACAGCTAATATGGTTCAATCAGATTGTTTGTTACATTAGGAGTCCACTTAGTCACCACATTACAATTTAAAATTTGGTCTAAATCTATCGAACTGATATCAAATAATTTCATTCGTGGCTGAATTGTATATAAATGTGAACTAAAATTCTCTAATCTTTGTGTACTAGAATACAGCTTAGTTTTGCTTGAATTATAATTTTAAACAAAATAATGTTACGAATGCAAGTATCTGTTTACCTTAGTTAACTGTAGTATTAGTTGATGAATGTCAGTTAATTTTTACCATACTGTCGGAGTAGTATGATCGATTGTGTTTTTTCTTGAACTTTGATCGCTCATTATATTTTTTTTTAATGTACTGCAACATTATGTTAAATAAATTTACTTTATATCATATATTAAAAAGGTTAATAGTTAAAACTTTCAACCACTGAAATTATATTTTTCATGTTTCAACAATTGCATATTATGATTAATCATTGTGCAGAAAGTATAACCGAAAATGAAATCCATAAATCTGTTTTATAATATGAAAATTACATTAACGTTCTGTTACGTGATACATTTACAAAGCGCGTATAGATGGTTAACAGTTGAATCTAGGACGTGTGTCTCATCTTATTTATGACTCGTCAGCTAAATTTGCCCACATCATCGAATTAAAATTTATTCCAAGATCTTACCAAGTAACTTTCACTTCAAGCACCAACGCTTTATCCTTCTAGTTACTGAATTTAGAAACTAGATTTAACTAATACAGTTTCCAAATTGTTAGCCTCGATTATACACTTAGACGCCTTACTAGTGCTCGTGAAGAGCAGACTAGGGAGAACCAGGCTGGTTTTCGACCTGGACGTGGTTGTATAGACCACATCTTCACACTCAGACAGGTCCTGGAACACAAACACACATTCAGAGGTCCGACAATAGTCGTGTTCCTGGACCTAAAAGCGGCATTTGACTCTTTGGATCGTGAGGTTCTGTGGCAGTGTTTGTCATTGAAAGGTGTACCATAGAAGTACATTAACCTTATACAAGCACTCTACTCGAACGCTACAGGTCGGGTTAGAGCTTATGGCGAACTGTCATCGGAATCGTTTACTTCAAGTGGTGTCCGTCAGGGCTGTCCACTCTCTCCATTCTTGTTTAACTTTGTCGTAGACATCCTCTTAGAGTTAACATTAAGCTCGTCAGATTTTTCAGGGGTTGACCTTCTACCAGGAAAATCGCTTACTGATCTAGAATATGCCGATGACATAGTTCTATTCGGTGGAGACGACAAGATGCACCTGAACTAGTGATAGGGAGTGAAGTAGTTGAGCGTGTTGATCGCTTCACTTATCTGGGGAGTCTCATCAGCGCTGATAGTCGTGTGACTGACGAAATCTCAGCACGGATACAGAAAGCTCGATTGGCTTTTGCCAACCTTTGTCACTTATTGCGTAGGCGAGATATCCGTTCGCTGACCAAAGGACGAGTGTACTGCGGAGCAGTTCGCTCCGTTCTCCTATATGGATGCGAAACATGGCCAGTCAGAGTAGAAGATATTCGTAGGTTACTAGTATTCGATCATAGATGTTTAATAAGCATTGCTCGTATACCGTGGGACAACCGAGTAAGCAATGCTGTCGTTAGGAAACGGGTGCTAGGTAAGAATGGCAGATCAATAGATGAAGTAATGAAACTTCATCAGTTGCGGTTGCTGGGACATGTGTTACGATTGCCTAACCACCGACTGCCTCAACGAGCTGTTTTGTAGTGTAGGAGTAGGTTGGAAGAAAGTTAGGGGCGGCCAGACCAAAACATGGCAGAAGTCCATGAAGTCACTGACTAGTGGAATGAGTCATGTTGGTAGATGTAGACTACCTGGTTGGGGTCCGCGAGATGATAATAATCGATGGTCAAGAGACCTTGAACGACGTGGCTCAAAATCGTTTGGAATGGCGCAATTGCATCCATTCGTTCTGCTCTCTCAAAGCTTAATCTTCTGAATTCTTCAACCCCTCTAGTTTTGTCTTTCTAATCTTATCTCACTGAATTATACTTCTTGAATAATATCTTCAAACCCTAGTCTTCTTCATTACCATTAATACCTCTACTATCTTTATCACTATGGGATATGATTTGACATTTGCCTCTCTGTGCTAATGTGGTATGACAACATGAACTTATGTACATACGTACGTGGTTCTACGTTGCAATTGACTGGCTGAATCCTGGAGTGGACATCAACTCTAGGATGCAAGTATATCCTGGGGATTGGCCCAAAATAGTAAGAAACACACATCTTCAATTCCACTGCTATTCGCATCCCATCTATTTTATATAAACTTATGTCATAATTGTTATACTATGGTAATCCGCGCAACACTCTTTCTTATATACCAACTAAGACTGATCAAACTCCAGTCAAAATATCAGCAACGAAATAATCCAAATCATTATAAACTAAAAGATTGTCCGATTGTTAATACGACCGTTACGTTTCTATTTTTTTCTTCATATCGATTAGGTAAACAATCGTCTGTTATATTTCTGACCCGTAAATAGTTTTAATTCTCCTCGTCTTCCTAAACTTACAGATCATTACACAATCTCTTTTTTGATACTCAAAATCTCAGGCCGTTTTGTAATGTAATCTCTTTTTATTCTCCTATAAACTCATATTAAATCATTATGAATACACGTCAAACCAAAGGCTTCCGATTCAGAGTCCCGGATACGCTCTGCTGAGGAGTCTCACACTAAGACAAAACTGCTGTCCAGTCTTTCCAGGTTTCTAATAATGCTATAGTTAAGTCAGTCAGTCAGTTACAACGAAGAACTTCGTACGTGCGTACATCATTTCAGGTTGCCATACTACATAGGTGTAGCTAAGAGCAATTCATAATTTAAAACTACGAAAATTATACAATCTCCATACACAATTGTACAGCTTTCATAAATGTTATCGTCGAAGCGCAAATTTTCTTCGTTATATAATGTTTATCGTGTATTCAATGATACAGTAGATTACTTTAGTAATCAATTGACTTTTACATAGCATCATTCTTTAACTTTGTACATACACTTTTTTCAGTTTTGGCAACTAATTCCTTGTCTATTAACATTTAACTTATACTATAGTAGCGATAATAATAGTTTCACCTTGTCTGAGTTCTTCTTTTCATAATTTCTACATTTTTGTGTTTAGGTTAATGAAGATAATATTCTCACTGACATGACAATTATTGATCTATGCGGAGTAACTTTATTATGGCGATCTAGATCAGGATTGAAATATACTGCTTGTTCAGAGGATTTAATGAAAATGGTAAGTCCGTTGTTGTTGTTGCTGTTGCTGCTGCTGCTGCTAATCTGATTCTCTTCGATTTCAGTTAGCACTTATTCATTGTATATTTCTTTTTGAAATTTCACTGATACCTGTTTTCTCACTTGATGAATTTAACACTGATATCTATCAACAAGTGTTTTATCAATGAGTTAGTGTATATTTTTATTTTGATAATCATCAGTATTACTGTTTAGATCTTCTTGATCGGTTTAGTTTTCAAAGTTTGTCATATTGTTTTAGTCTTTCATATACTTATCTCTTAGTTAAATGATATATATATGGTTATCATTGATTTGACTTTGAGGGTGAGAAGAGGAAAATTTACCTCAAGCTCATGGTAGAACGAGTTGTTGGACATACTGTTGTGTACATGAATTTCGTGCTTTAATCGCTTGGCTTCTAAAGCTTTTGTGTTATACAAGATTTTGATTCCCTTAAGCCTATTCATTTAATGGTGTAAAAGCTTTTGAAGGATAATTCAACCTGAATCTTAATATATAGTAACGACTTCATATACATTTGGAATGTAATCAACACTTAGTTAAGTTTAATACTATACTATGCATCGACATGACTGATTGTTACAGACTTTTGTCTGATCTGATGTAAATCGAGAAACTTATGCGAAATTTCTTTGAGATGGCTTTGATCTCGTCCAATAAATCATATTAAGATTGATATTTTTGATTGTTAGTCTTGCGGATAGAAACAAATAGAACTGTTGTATATGATATCGCAGTTATTATTGTTAGTGTTATCACCCTATATTCTCTATCCATAACACTCCTGTTATTTTCACTAACGGAATTTGTAGTCTGCAAGCAATATATATCGAAGTTTCTGAAGAATAATAGCCATGACAGACTTCTTATCCTTGCCAAAAAAGGAAACACGCCGCATTACACTACATTGTTTCTTGTATCTAATGCTTAATTTTAAATAACCACATTTTTTATAAGAGTATAAAACCTTTTTTGTTTATATTCAAAAGCTCACTGCATAAATTTTTTTCCTTGAGTAAATATTTGTTTGTTTACAGTCTTGTTACGTATATCATTATTTTTTTCTTCTAGATCAATGGATTGAATCAAGCTCATATTCAATGTCCTGTGTTGTATCGTACATTGAAACTTCCATTTTTACCTCAAAGTACACCTTTTTCACCTCACTCTGATTTAATCAATAGGGACAATAACAATGAGTTATTGAATAATGACAATGTTTTATCTAAACTAGAATCAGATCAAATTAGTCCTGATCAAATGCCGTATGTATATGTAAGCTGTGGTCATGTACATGGTTGGCATAATTGGCGTGCAGCTGGTGATGTGTGAGTTTTACATGTCACTATATTTGATAAAATATCATTATCACCTGAAATTATGTAATTTTCCAATTAGAGTTATGGAGATTAGTGTTCTTTTTTCACATTGAAATCATCAATCAATCATTATTATACCAATGGGTGAGGTCGCGCAAAATCTGTAGATTAACATTAACACCGTTCGATGCGGATCCAGAGGTTAGGCGTTCGCTCGCTAGATCGAAGACCCTAGGTTCGAATCCTGCGAGATGCAGGAGTCGTGGATGCGCACTGCTGATGAGTCGTCCCATTGCCAGGACATAACGGCCGTCCAGTGCTTCCAGGTTTCTAATGGTGGCCTAACAATGATTAGTTGATGATTTCAATTATGTAATTGTTTGGAACTTGCTTTTATTTGATTTTTGGCGATAACAATCTATTTTGGCACACTTGGTAATAACTAATGAACACTAGTGAACATAACAGAAAAAAATCATGATCTAGTTACATTGGAATTGTAAAAAGTAGTTCTTTTTTGTAGACTGTTCGAATGTCTAAATAATGTAAAGTATATTCATCTTATCATTATCGTCATTAAGCAAATAAGTATAGCTATTAGTTATTCTCGTGAATTATTGATGAAACTCTCAAAGAATTATTCCTAATTCAATTATTTAGTTACAGTATCGACATCATTATTGAATTAATTTGTAGAATTATTGTTATCTTGATTATTTCCCGTTAACAAAATGAAACAACCTATACAAATATGTACTTTATAAGCGGCAGTTGTTGATACATAGATTAGTTTTTATTTTGTTTCAAATAGAAAAGCTTTTTCGATTAATATATACGTTAATCATTAAAGTATTTCTATGGAACGTTAAAAAAGATATTAATTTACTTGAAAAATTTAAATATTTGAGGCAGTACCCTTTTTTAAAAAGCGTTCATTTAACACTTATATGAGCTTAGTAGATCCACAGATAGATCCGATATGTAAAGAAAATTCAGTCAACCTTCGTTTATAAATTATTCTATTCTGACGAAATCTATAGTTTGTATCTGTCGTTGGCTGTCAGAAATGTCTATTCTCCAGTTAAAAAGTTATTTGTATATAATCGATAAGTTGTATTTGTCACAAATTTTAATCACAGTTGATGTGTCATTGAGAACAGAAGGGCATTGGAGAATTGTTTCGTTCTACTATTGAACTAACTCCTCATCAATGTTCACCCAGGGATCAAACTCATGACTTTCAGATCTCGTAAGCGAACGCTTAATTATTGCGTCGACATCCAACAACCTCAAAAGGTACATTCATTTCCTTCTGAAAAAACGAGTTTAACTGTGAAGTGTTATTAACACTTAATATTCGTTTTGATGGTGTTAAGTGTTTTACGTTATAGAGAGGAATTTCAAGCAGACCAAAATCTATTCATTTGAACTAAGGAAATATTTTTCATCGCATAATCTCCGTGCCGAAGAATATAACTTTAAGAATATATATATATATATATATATATATATATATATATATATATATATATATATATATATATATATAGTTCATCTAAATAAAATTATTGTAATCGAAAATTGATCTACTGTTACTAAAAAGATTGAAATGTGATTTAAAGAAATGTTTAAATTCAAATGGTTTCGTGTATTTGACTAACTACTAAACAAACACAGAATTAAGTGTAAATGTTTACCTAAGAAAAACTAAGCAAGCCGGTTTAGTATAATAGTATGGTGAACATATGCATAGAAGTTACATTGGCATACAACTTGTCACTGTTTAAAAACAACATTTCCAAATAAAACTAGCAAAACTGGTTAATTGTTGAAATAAAGAAGAATAAAATAACTGAAGAAAGAAGAAACTTTATTCCCAGTATTCAGGTGGTCAGCAATTCAATGGCAACCAATGCATACATTTTCACTAGTGAGACTTTTCTAAGATTATATTATTTAGAAGAACCTTGATTAACAAACAGGCTGACACTTACCCTGCCTGCCCTTATATCACCTAAGTTAACAATCAATGACTTGATGGACTAGTCTCATGTGTTAGATCCTTAATACAATTAACAATGTACGTTATATGACAAATGGTTATGTACGTAAGATTTTACGTATTCTACTGTAAAACTACTGGCTAACTATTTAGTTCGAAAATTGCTAATCATTAAAACTTTTGAAAAGTGTTTCCTATGCTTTGATATTTAGTACCTGCATGGAAATAGAATAAAATTCACAAAGTATTTCTGAATGAAACACATTGGCTTGGTATGCGATCTAAGTGGGTGGTCATATTGTATGACATGGGTTTGACTAATATTGTTAGTTAGGTAGTGAAACCTCCTTAGTAACAGAAATTAAATAACATAAATTCTAACATTGTGAATTCTCACAAACTTCCTCTTATTTTTTTTGGTTGGAAAAGCCAACGTTTGAAAACACATTATTCGTTAATTCTATTCGTCTGACCATATTAAGAACTTACTTCTCTTATTATTAATAAACTACAGTGAAGATTAATACAATCGAAAGGAAGGAAAAACAAATTGTAAATGCTTTCTCTTGTTGTCTTTCTTCCTCTTCTCTTAAAAACTTAATCACAACTATTGGTTTGTTTTTTTTTCTTAATTTATTTCAGAAATAGTCGTCGAACATGTCCATTATGTTTACAAGCATCATTATTTATTCCACTACGTATGGGTATTGAATCAGCATTCTATGTTGATCGTAGTTTGGCTACGCATTGTTTTAATCCATGTGGACATATTGCTTCAGAAAATACTGTACGGTAAGTTAAAGTGAATATTCTGTATTCTTGCAATGTTATACTACGAAGTTAATATAGATTAAATCACTCATTTATGTTGAGTTTAATTGTATTCACGTCTAAAAGTGTTGAATGCTACCCTTTTTTTAATTCAGTTGAAGAGATTTAAAAGAATATATTGTGGAAAATAAGCTTGTACTAAGAAGGTACATTTGAATGTGTTTAACTAGAGTATCTGTCCAGTTTAGTATTTTCACTGGTGTTTGTTTTTCAATCACTTTATCGTGTAATATTAACTTATTTAAGCATACCTTGTACAATATGTGTTGTTTTGACATTTCTTTACTGAATTCATGAAAGTAGTATGTAACTTACCGACACATTTAATTGTTATGACACTGTGAATGAATTTATATGTGTGTCACAAAATCAGCACATTAGTTATTCCTCAAATTCTATTGATTTTACCATTTTAAGGACTTGCTTCCTTTACAATTTGATTCAAGCATAGAAATCTCTCTCAGTGTAAATAACTGTAATCAATCTAACTTTGTGTTTACTTTTAACAATCAAACAACCTCATTAACATTAGTATTGATGTTGGCTTTTGGTTTATCATTATTACTCATACTTGATTAACTCTAGATCATTCACATTGCCATCTGGCTTATCTATAATGGAGATTGAATTTGAATACAGCAACTGTAGTTCTGTTTGATTTAGTTTTTACAAGCTGCTAATACTATTCACTCCCAGGTTACAAGCAAAATTTTTAGTCATTATTTACTCCCACAAAGTCGAACCAATTACTATGGGATTAGTCGAGCGACTGTGTTAACCCCCGTAAAATTAAGCCAATCATTCAAATTGATCACTGAATAATAGTTCAACCACAAACCTAAGTATTTACCGATAATATTATTTGAAACGTATCGAAATTCTGTCGAACTCTTTAGATTTCTTCTTTCTTACTACTACTGTAGTGAACGAGAACACAGATGGGGCAACCGAATTGTATTTAGCGAAATTACAGAGTTACTCAGTAAAATTGGAAAACCATATCGTAAATTGTTCATTTGCAAAATATCAGTTCATCCTATCGAACTGGACTGTTCCTGTTGCCAAACATCAATCCATTGTCACTATTCATGCGTTTCATACAAATTCCATTGTGTTCTAACTCTTCCTTTCCTGATCTTCCCCCATCTCCCGCTGCCAGACATTACGTTGACACTCACGTCATATACTACATATAAGTAGCTCACACCACACTACTACTTATGCGTAGAATCATAAATTTACTATCTGTTGTCACTGTGTTTTCCAACAGCATGTTCAGTGTACTATATCGGTATCTGTCTCGACTTTGAGACTATGCCATCTGTTCCTAGTTACAACCAAGTAAATAATTGTTATGGTATCTTTGAATATCCATCTCTTAATAAAACACTAAACATCTTTATTTAGTAATATTACGTGAAGTTGCGACTTATTGATGAAATCACTTAACCTTTGGTCAAAAAGTCATAGGTTCAACTCCTAACCCCGCCTACTTTGGTTTCTGAACGTGGTCGATACATTACTAACCCTATTATTTCATCATAATTGTCTAAAATGCAACTTTCTAGGAAAAATCAAATGTAAGAATAGTCTCAATAACATTTTTCTAGTCCTCAGTGACTTTTGCTGTCATTTTATCGGGTATTGTCACTTTTAGTTTGCTAATTTTGTATTTCTAAACCATTTACGATTGATCACTCAATGGCTAGTACACCTTAGTCCTATAATATGCCAGTCACTTTCCGGGCAGCTCAGTGGTAATGTCTCTGGCTGTGAAGCTGAGTGGCATGGGATCGAACCCGCCAGGGCGTACCAGTGTACACCTTATTGGTGAGTTCCATATGGCATGAAACCTAAGTCAAGAGTTTCTTCCTATCGACAATCTCCAACTTGTGTACATTCATTTTCCTTAGTTAAAGCGGACGGATATCCTCATCGTTCACAATTACATGCATTAACAAAAAAACACATAGCACAATTTAATCAATGCTTTGCTTGATTATGAAATTGCATTATTGCACATTTCTTTTCCCACTAATGCTTTTAATAAATATAAATTTCTTTTTTTTTTCTTGATCTATCTGTACACTAGATACTGGTGTAGTTTACAATTATTAAATCGGCACAATTTTGAATTACATGCAAGATGTCCATTTTGTTTAACATCTATACATTCAAAACCAGTGAAATTATTATTTCAAAGTGATTTATCAGAAGAAGAATTTTTAGAATTAATTAAAGAACAATTATATGTGCGTACATTAAATATGGAAAAGCATGAAACATTATCACGTTCTTCTAAATTAAATAATAATCAATCATCCAAAATCAATTCATCATCATCATCTCATCCCATTCATCCTAATCATGACAATAATAATAATAATAGTAATCAAGAATCTTCTCATTTGTCTACTGCTGCTGCTGCTTCTTCTTCTTCTCCACCTCGTCCTCTTACATCTTCTTCTCATAATCCTACTGATCGTCTACTTTCGTCATCCTGTTCATCATGTGATGATTATGTGTATGTTAATGTTACTGGTGATAATGAAGTGTTATCTCCTCCTCCTCCTCCTCCTCCTACTACTACTACAACAACATCATCACCATCATCATCGAATGTATTAAATCATCCGTGTCAATCAATTGTCGTTGTATTATCCGATCATTCGAATCTTCATTCAATGAATAAAAATCATAGTTATCATTTAACTACAACTATTTCATCAGATTGATTTTTGTTTTGTTTTTTCGATTGCTTTCTCTTCTCTCTCACTCACTCTCTCTCTCTCTCACCCCACTGGATACACTTTCATCACTAACAATTAGAGTAAGTGAATTTCAACTAATTTCAGCGACTCATTCACTCTTTTTTTTCCTGTACTATTGCTCGTGTTAATATAAATAATTCATTATTTTATTGATTATGTGTGGATTTGATTATTTCGAGTGATTTTAACCATTTTGCAATGCAATTAGTTGCACAATTCTGTTAATCGATTGAAGTTAGAACTGTAAACTGTTGGATTTTAACTTTGTAGTCTAAATGTTTAATGTTCTCTGTGAGATCTGAAGGTGTTGAGTGACAATCCCTTGTTGTGAATAAGGACTATTGAATAGTCTTAAACTCAGGGTGAAACAACTGTTCTTTGTTTCTTGTCTTTCAATAATTATCCAACTAAAGTCAGTTTCTGATGGAAATTATGGAAGTTAACAATCTTCACAAACCTCATTTAAGTAATATTTCATTTTATTTCGGATACTTTTGTTTTTGTAGAAATTACGATCTACACGATATTCAATTGAAATGGACGAATTCTTACTGTTGTTGATACTAGTACAACTTTATTGGTTTTCATTAAACATTAGTCACTCTAAAATTAATATTTTTTACAACTGTTTGTATCCAATATCCAGACAGACAGATACAACGCAAAACTTCGTACGTATGTACATCAGTTCAGGTTGACATATCACTTTAGCACAGAGACGCACTGTCACTTCAAATCCAATAGTGGTAGCGATAGTTGAAGTATTAGCAGTAATGGAGAAGAATAGGGTATAATTCAGTGAGATAAATTTAGAAAGAGAAAGATAGAGATTATGAGAAATTCAGAAGTTTAGCATTAGAGAAAACTCAAAGAGTGGATGCACCTGCGCCATTGCAAACGATTTTGAGCCATGTCATTCAAGGTCTCTAACCATTGGTGACTATTGTCTCGCGGACCCCAACCAGATAGCCTACATCTACCGACATGACTCAGTCTACTTGTCAGTGACTTCATGGACTTGTACCATGTTTTGGTTTGGCCGCCCCTTACTTTCTTCCAATCTACTCCTACACCACAAAACATAGCTTGTCGCGGCAGTCGGTGACTAGGCATACGTAACACATGTCCTAACCACCTCAACTGATGAAGTTTCAACACTTCATCTATTGGCCTGCTATCCTTACTTATCACCTGTTTCCTAACGAAAGCATCTATCCACCCATTATATAGTTTTTACTTCAATTCTCCATGCTTTAATCATTCATAATACACCTCTACACAATTGTAGTTAATAGATCATTTCAACCATAGGCTGTGTGATAGACTTATTCATGTTGAAAATTTCCGAAATGTGTATAAAGGACATGATTACATGTCAACGTACATACACGGCATTTTCCTGCTAGGTTCCATTAGGCTCTTGCATTCTAATTAGTGTTAGTTGTGTATGAATCACTTTTCGTGTTTATTGTGATTCATTTCCCAAGTATTAATTTTTGTGCTTGTTTTTTGTCTTCCTGATTGCGAAAACATCACATTCTATTCGTTCCCAATGAAGATTTAGTACCACTAGTAAATTTTAACAAATGAATCGAAACATCGGTGTAAAAAAACAGGTTGACCAATGTGACCGATCTCATACTATCAAATCTGTAGAGCAGTCAACACTAGTTCTCTTTCTTTGTTAGGTTTTTCCAGATTAATTAACTTTTTGCACTATAGACATTCGGGATAATTCAATTATAAATGCGTTTGCATCAGTACTAAAAATTTCTGTTCTATTAACTCATATTCTCTTAGATGTTAGGTGGTTAAAGGTAGTTCATAGTTCATATTTAAGTTTTCCGCAAGTCAGCAATCAAGTGTATGACCTTGCTACCAAGCTATATGGACGGCAGCTGACCTCCTGTGGTGACTAATGTCATATTCGTCTAGTCTTTTAAGTATCATTTGAATTTTATCGATCAAGTTTCATTTTGAATCACTGTGTTGTGAACCATGTCTAAAATTTGGTTTCCATTTTTTGTAAACATGCAAATTTACAGCGTATGTATTATACTACTACTAATTAATCAGTCATGTTACTCTTCATCTGTTATACTTTTTTTTACTTATTTTAGCCAATCTTCTTGTTCCTAGACAGAGAAAGAGAAACTAACTACCAGAAGAATCCGAATTGTAACTACGCACAGTGTTTTACATTCATTTTTTGTACGCTCATTTATTCTGACTGCAATATATTATCCCTATTTTATCATTGTTATCATTCTTCTTTTTTTTGGATCTCTATGCACTCTATGCACATTGTTTTCAAAGAAAAATGATAAATCTATTGCAATACAACATGAATTCACTTTTATTCACCGTTGTTCATGATAGTCTTTTTAAAATATTTTACAGTTGATTTTTTTTCAAAGTGAATCTAGGGCATCATATTGTGTGTTGTGTTGTACTACTTACTTACTTACTTACTACTTACATTACCTCCCCTTGTCTATTTTACTCTTTTTATTATATTTTAACTAGATTTTCTTAATGATAAACGTTTAATTGGTTAGGGTTTTTTTTTAATGTGTCTATATCATCATGTAATTAGATTTTTTCATTAATTAATTAATTAACAATAATAATAATGATAATATCATCATTGATATTGTGTAATTAATTAATTGCGCTTCTCCTCCTTCCTTCTTTTTTTTCACACACCCCATCCAACGTACACATCCACTTCACCATATTTTCGTTGAATAATCAATACCATTTAGGCTTACACATTTATACATATACATTATATATATATATATATAAATATATATATATATATATATATATATATATATATATATATATATATACGTTTACTTTTCCAATCCTGTCAATTGTAACGTTTACGTTTAATTGACTTACTGGTTCATTTTCATTGAAACGGGTTTTTTTTTGTTCTTTCAATAATCTGAAAGTGTAATATATATTTATCAATAACTTTTTTCCTGTATTGTAATTTTCTTCTCTTTCTAAACTGTCGACTTCAGCTGATTTTTTTCGCAATATAGAGATGATTACTTGTTCGTGTTTGTTTGTTTATCAGCATATGTACGTTTTATGCACGTATGTATGTATGTATGTGTTTGTGTGTGCAAAGTTACATTGAAATGTAACAACTTTCCAGTTCTATTTTTGTTCTTTACTCTCTCTCCCTGTTTATGTTTTGTTTTCATTTTACTATAAATATTATCGTTTCTTTTTTTGTAACAAATAATTTATTTTTATTGCGAACTTTTTTTTTAAATTCTCATTTCTTTTTAGAAATTGGTTGGGGGGGGGAGGTGGAATAATTCCATAAGTTTTGTAAATTTGAAGTGATCTCAAAATCTAATTGATTGATAACAAGTAAATTGTAGAAAAGTTCATTCTCTATGTTACCCTGATTTTATGCGAATAATTACCATTTTAAAATCGGATACTGTTTTTTTGAATTTGATTGTTCTTGTACCAATTTCCCAGAAGATTGTTTTCAATAAGTCGCGAATTCTTTTATTTTGTTGATATAAAGGGTTTTGTAGTGACTATTAGATTTTACCACAGGAAATGAGCTTAGCTAAAGAACTGTCAAAAGCCAAAAAGCATGGAACAGTGTGAAACTTCTTACCGATGTTCATCTACGCCTCCATTGAGGATCGGATCCAGGATTCCCGGATCTTGCTGTGAGCGCTTAAACTCGAGAGACTATCAGATCAGCGTGTAATAGATTAACTTCAATCACTTCGTGATACTGCGTACTTGTGTGTCTGTTTTCTTAGAATATACCAATGACATATTGACACATGGTGCTGATGGCCTGGTTTGTGACGAAATCTCAGCACGGATACAGAAGGTTCGATTGGCTTTTGCCAACCTGCGTCACTTATGACGTAGGCAAAATATCCGTTTGCTAACCAAAGGACGAGTCGACTGCGCAGCAGTTCGCTCCGTCCTAATTTATGGCTGCGAAACGTGGCTAGTCAAAGTAGAAGATATTCGTAGGTTACTTGTCTTCGATCATAGGTGTCTCGAAAGCATTGCTCGAATATCTTGGGTCAACCGAGTAAGCAATGCTTTAGTTAGGAAACTAGTACTAGGTAAGGATGTCGGATCAATAGATGAGGTGCCTCGTCGAGCTATGTTCTGTGGTGTAGGAATAGATTGAAAGAAAACTAGCGGTGGCTAAACCAAAACATGGCACAAATCCATAAAGTCACTGAGTAATTGTTACTTGTAGTTTTATAATTTATACATGTAGTTTTTTCATACATCTAAAATCATTCAATGAATGAAGTGTATACAATGTAACAGAAATGTTAAAAGAATGTAATAATTCAATGAAAGTAAAAAGTCAAATAGTAGTATAAATTCGAAACTTTATGTTTCAATTAACAATGGCTAAGTATTGTTTAACGGCCGTGAATATTATTTCTGAATTTGAGTTCAACAAAACTGACAAAAACTACTGTGAAATACTGATTTTTTGGTCATTATTAGGTTCTTCACTAAGTATGCTTGAGGCTATTACGAGTTTACCTTAGTCGATAAACGCGAACGAGACTTTTACCAGCGTCCAGGTACGCTACCTTGAATCCCCAAATAAAGTAAGAAGGCTTTGTAAGCGTAGAAAGCATATTCTACAAACACCCAGCAATCTCAGTACAATCAAGCATACAACTCTCGTTTATTTATACATCATAGAAACGTCCTTGGGACATTTAGGAAAATAGCACACTAAAATACACAGCAGCCAATCACAGCCATGGATTTTCCTGGTGGGAATTGAAATCTCAAGGTCAACTGATCAGCCCATGCTGGCAAACGTAGAATCCAAAACAAGGCATTTAACAAGCGAGTTTCGGGGATCTAACATTCCCAACAGTTATCCTAATTTAGATAAGTGCAAATTTCAATCAAACAACTTGACATACATTTACACTGACTAACAAGAAACTTCTTTACTCTAAAGATTCAAACAAAACACGCAATCAGGTATGACTGTTTATTGAGAATTATATCAAAATCAATGCGAAATGATTTTTTAATTTGTTATATTCAGAAATAATTTTTTTTTTAAAAAAAAGTAAAAAGGATTTACACAAATTCCCCCAAATAATCAACATCAAATTAGATGATATGATAATCTAAGAAAATATACGATAAACCAACAATTTTTTTTTCTAATCAATATCACTCTTATCAATGCAACAACATATGTCACCAAGAAATGCCATTTAAAAAGCACCTTTATGCAACCCTTAATATGATGATGTCAAGAAGAAAAAATATACATGAACTAACATCATCATATAACTGTAAATCGATGATAGATTATAATCTCTTTCTTATTACTTTACTTTATGAACTGATCCCAAATAATCAGAAAAAGTCAAAAGAAACATCCTGAACAGCTGTTTCATTTACTCGATAGCATGAATCGACAACAACACCGAGGACAGAGCATAAGATATTCAGATTTGAACTGGTATTCTTCATTGGCTATGTTCGGTCGATGAATGATATCGAACTATGATCATTTAAAAATATTCACAACATCCTACAATAATTAATGTTTGTTATTTATTTTTCTGTTGGATTCTAGAATTTGTATGAATGAATTAAGCTTTCGCATAAAGTTTGGATTTAGGTCAGATGATATAGATAGTGTTTTTTGAATGAACTTACAATATCACATCTTCAAAATTTTTTTTCTGTCAGCTACTTTTTAATATCAACTGTACAATTAACCTAGTACGATTTAAACTGTGAAAAGTAAGAAGTGAATTCTTTCATGCATGCGGTCACTGGTAATATTTTAATGTCCGCAAAATATGTTACACTCAGTGATGCTCAATCATTTCCTTGTTAGTTTAGTTGATGAATATTGAAATGAAATTCTCAAGGAAAACTTTATTTCAAGCCTGTATTTACCTTTACAATATTTGTTGTCTTTTAACCATTATGTAAGACTAAACTAGATTGATTATGTTCATAAGAGTTAGTAGAGAATAACTTCAGTGCTTTATATTATTCACTCTGTGAAACTAAGTGCTACATTGATTAGTTCATGATTGTAATTGTCTTGTAATTTATTGATAACTTACTATCAAATTCACAATAAGTGTTCATTTCTATTTTGGGAAAACCTACTCCACAATGAACACTTTTCCCGCTCTGAAATTTCAGCTCAACAACTGTAGCTTTTATTTTGATCAACTTATTGCTAAATTATGAAAGTAACTTTTCACCGATTACTAATTGTTGTTGTTAGATTCAGCGATTTGACGTTTTTATCATTGTCTTGACTGAATTATATAGTTTATGTGAACAGCAAGAACTATATTTTATTCTTAATATGAACAGCATACAGTAAAATGATAATCACCAAATGCTACACAGAGGAATAACCACAGACAATATGTCAGCATCTGTACAATAATCCTGTATACCTCAATTAGAATAATCCTACTTTAACATAAACATATATTTTTTTACGGTTCCAAGTGTTTTTCTCTGTAGAGAGAAGTTTCACAATTAGTCTCAGAACAACAACTAGAAATACCATGATCTTATAAATAAGATCATGGAAGAAATGTAGAGATTACAATTCTCAATATTTCGTTTCTCATCTGAGCAAGCTATCTACAAGTAAGCAATCGAAAACCATGGACAATAGATGTATCTTAGTTAGTTTAGGACTCATTAGCAATAAGTATTCTTAAAACCAAGGTAAGATTTAGAACTTAACAGTACGAAACTGTATAAAGTATGACATTAACCAGTTATCAATTTCAAAAATCTGTCTTAAAAGGAAAGAAATCACAATACCACTGTAAATGCAAATACCACAATATATATATATGGCTGATAAAAATGCACATCATTTTTGCCTACTCATTTTTAAATAAGTAATAAAACAATTTAAATACAAATAGTTGAAATTCAGAATGAAAAATTATTGTTTTTAGTTTGTTTACAGAACAAAGTAAATATTACAATGGCGCTCAAGTAACAACTGTTCATCTGCTGCTCTGATGATATCTCCGGTACAACAATAATGATTGGAAATATGTTTTTATCTTTTTTTGTTTATTTGTTAAATAATTTGTGGACATGGGGTGGTAGTATGTAGGGTTCTTTGTTTTCAATTATAACCTATTTACATGCTTCCAGATGATGTTCATATTTATGCGATGTTAAGCCTTTATTAGACTGTTTACAATGATTTCTTGTTTTATTTTGAAATTTCACTGAATGCACAGAACCGGTTGTAGGCAATTGGTAATTTTGTTGTTGTTTACTGTGTATTTTCATATGTCTTGTCAATTTTGATGATTGAGCGCATGAATATGTGCATATAGTACAATGATATGGTTTTTCACCGGTATGTATACGTCTATGTACAGTTAAGTTGCTGCAATTTCGAAATATTTTCCCACAATATTCACATATATCACGTCTTAACTGAACTGTTGAATGATACTTGGATACTACTACTACTTGTTTATTTTTTTTCAATCCAATAGGTTGATTTTGATTAGTAGTATTGAGAAAATGTCCAGTCACATTAGAAGTGATATCGGAAATGTCTTTAGATTCTTTTTTGTTATTAGTTAAATTGTAAAATGAATTTTTATCTAAAGATAAATCATAATAGGATGTGACATTTTCATATAGTGAATGATTCTGATGATGATTGCCTAATATACTTGGTTGACTATTTTTCTCATCCAACTTATTGAATTCATTCAATTGCATGTTAGACAATTGTTCAAGTTGGACAAAATGATCATTTTCCTGGTGATGATGAATTAGCTGATTTGTTATACTTTTAGGCGATGCTGAATAATTGCAATCTATGGGGCTGCTCTGTTCGACAATCTTTGTTTGATGATGATAATCAAGCAAATTTTTATACATAAAATTGAATAAATTGTAATAATTCGTAAACTGTTTAGAATATTTATACAGATTATTGGTTAAATGATCAATGATCAATAATTTATTCTGTGCATTCGATTGTTTGAATGGATTAATTGGCGGTGGTTGTGGTTGTTGTTGTTGTGATTTATTGTTGAGTTGTGTTTCTTGAATAGGATTAGAATTTGTATTATAACTATTATTATTATTATTATTATTATTATTATTATTATTATTATTATTGTTAATTGTGAATTGATTAGCATCGATGTTATGAATGCTTTCTAAATGATTTAATAATTGATAAGGGGAATGTTGTATAGTTTTACACAATAAACATGGCAGTATGACAGAATTATTGAGATGTGAATTATCTGAGGGAGGAAGAGAGAGAGGAAAGAAAAGGGGAAGAAGATAAGTAAAATAGTTAAGGCAAACTAAAATTTTAATGCTCACTGACAATCAAGTTAATGATGTACAAGACTGTTTCTAAAGCGTTTTGCTTAGTAATAAGATAACTTACCATTCCAAACTGGGATTAGTTGAAAATTTAATGAAAACTGTGAATTATTAAGTAGTTCTTTTTTTCCCAGCTACGATTCTCACAACTAGTGGCTAAAGATTTTGTGCGAAAGCTCAGAATTAGTTACATTGGTCCAAAATACATTCATTATCTGTCCTGATTAGTATTATATATATATATATATATATATATATATATATATATATATATATATATATATATATATATATATAGAGAGAGAGAGAGAGAGAGAGAGAGAGAGAGAGTTTTAAACTTGTCTTATACTCTATTATTCCATGAATTCATTTTTCCTTCTCAAATTATCTTATAACTGGATAAATTTCCTACTGAGATTAAAACACATAAATTACTACTCCAAATACTATAAAAACTACCTTGTTGAACAAGGCCAAAAAACATATTACGCCGAGAAATGGAGAAAGATATGAGAAAAGTGAACGAAAATTGGAAAGCATTGGAAAGGGAAACCCAGGACAGAGTTGGATGGAGAAAATTGGTCGGTGGGTAACAGGCGTAAGTAAATACCTTGTTGGTTATTATCACTACTATCATAATAAGACCAGATGAAATCAGAGATTTATTTGGAGAAGATACAGTTTACTAGCAAATTGTGTATACCTTATCTTCAAACTTCTATTTCTAAAACAAGTGGATTATCAGCTGTTTCGTTCTACATGTCTTCTAGTCTTCAACACACTCAGATTACGCCATACACTAGGGTCTGACACTCTTCTCTTCAACAGTAACCTCGGGGAGACATTCTACTGCGTATCCACTGGATAGTAATTATAAGCCACACTGTGAGTAGTACACGCTCCAGTACTACTACTGCTGCTCCTACCTGTATTGTATCCAGCAAGTGAATCGAATCAATCATTAGCAAACACATTTGACGGAGCTATCAATTTTTCTTTATAATAATATTTGTCACAAAATAGATGTCTGTTAATTTAAATTTACAAAAATATAAATCAGTATTTATAATTACAACTAGCGAAATATTTACAATCGATCTGAATTTTTTACACACTGAGTGAATTATAATTAAGCAGTTTTTGTAATTAAATTATTTACTGAAAAAAAAACAGTACTGCTAATCTTAATTAATTTTCAAATTATACTTCTTACTTAAAATACTTAGTCCTTTTTATATATATTGTGTTAGAATGATGATAAACATTACAGGGGTTGTGAAGATTGTTAAGTTACACATTTTCGAAACCATGAATCGATCAATGTTAGACCACCATTAGAAACCTGGTAGCACTGGACGGCCGTCAAGTCCTGGTATGGGACTCCTCAGAAGTGCGCATCCATGACCCCTGCACCCCGCAGAATTCGGACCCAGGACCTTCGGTATTGTGCGTGAACGCCCTAACCGTTAGACCACGGAGCCGGTGTCTAACGGTGTTAATGTCTAACTTGATCAAATTCACGGAGTTGCGCAACCTCATACAACGTCTTCGGTAGACACTGCCTACACCTGAACAGGTTGAACTTCACTGATCACGTCTTCCCATTAGAACTGGGAGAAGATTCCTCACGAAGCTAGTCACTAGTGAGCACAGGTAATTTGCATTACAGGGGTTTTGGAGATTATTAAGTTACACATTTTTGAAACCATGAATCGATCAATGTTAGACCATACCAGGACGAAACGGCCGTCCAGTGCTTCCAGGTTTCTAACGGTAGTCTAATATTGATCGATTCATGGTTTCAAAAATTATGATAAAATGAAGTTGATCTAAAAAAATATATAACATATATTTGCGCCATACATTTTGTACGATTTGGTCACACACATACTTATCAAGGCATTTTCTATGAAAATTACCAAGGTATGATAAACTGTTTGTGTACATTCTATTGTGGTCAATTCGATGCCCAGTTTTAACTATGTATTTTACTGCCTATCTATTTCCCACATTTATCGCGTCATTTGATATAAACTGACTTTGAAGCCATCTAGGTATATGTGTCCGTAATCCTTGATTGCAGTCTCCGATTACTCTTCCCTATGTATCAGGCATTGATTTAAAATGTACACTAATATAAATGAATAGCGCGAGTATTTCGTATTTTTCAGATCACCTTTATCTTCTCAATATTCTATACTTATTAATCTGAAAAAAAGTATTTCCTTTTTATTAATCCTTGTTTTACATATATATCGTTTAATTGAAATTATTGAAGTGAATAGTTATAGACATTTTGATGTCAAAGATTAATTGTTGAGAGAATATAATCTAATTAAAAGCTTCTACTGCAAATTTTAATGAAAAGAAAATGGTACAATCAATAAGATAAATAATATTAGAATTATTAACAAAATACTGAATTTTAATTGTTATAATTTTCAATAGAATTCAATGTGTTATATGTAATATTCTGTCTAGTCAAAATGATCTTCTTTTTTCAATGTTTACATCAAGGTCAACCTTATTTTGACATTGTTTATTCATTAAAACAATTGCCAATAATTTATTTGAACTCAATTTTAATGCTATGTTAATAAGTATTTATTAGTTATTACATTTTCTTCACTAGGTGTTAAGTATAAAAATGTTTAGTTTAGTTTAGTTTCAATTAATTGATATGACTGAAACATGCAATTACACTTCAGTACCTAAATACAAATCTCAAGAATTTAACTGAAAGTTCTATATTGTCTTTCAGTTTTGGCCAAGTGAAGTTAATGTAGAAAAGTTTAAATTTATGTATAACCGAATGATTGAATTGCAAATTTCACAACAATGAAAACATTATTTCAATGTCAATAGTTATATTGATATTAACTAGTTTCTTTGTTCTTCCGGGTACTCTTTATTATTAGGTGTTTAACAACCGGCCCATTAAAGATCCAACAGATTACTACTGTGATTTATTTGTGTAAAATGACTGAGTGATAGATTTTGATCATCACTAAGAATTGAACGACTATGAAATTGGCCACTACCATGTAATAAATTAGTTGGAGTTCAACCCTGTCGGGTGTAGACAGTAACTATCAAAGACAAATGGGTGAGGTCGCACAAAATCCCTAGATCAATCAGAGTTAGACATCAAACACCGTTGGATGCCGGCTCAGTGGTCCCAATGGTTAAGCGTTCTTCGCGCACAGCACCGAAGGTCCCGGGTTCGAATCCTGCGAGGAGCAGGAGTCGTGGATGCGCATTGCTGATGAGTCCCATAGCAGGATGAAACGTACGTCCAGTACTTCCAGGTTTCTCAATGGTGATCTAACAATGACTGATTGATGATTTCAAATGTGTAGTAAATTAGTGTTTCAAATAATTGAAATATTCATCTGTTATGGCAAGTTCTCAATTATTCAACCTTAACCAATGAATGGTATATATATATATATATATATATATATATATATATATATATATTGTAAATTGCCGTCATTATTGTTGATAGATATTGTCACAAACTGTAAAATAATTTACTTTTTTTTAAAAAAAAACGAAAATTAGTACATCGCTAAATAAGCGTAGACCCCCTACTGATAATAATATTGCCAGTGATTACTCTATTCACATATTATTCCAATGTACAGTTGAAACAATAATAAAAATTATTATTATTATTATTATTACAATAATCGGAAATGAATATTTAAATATTTTTAGTACAAAACATCAATAATACCCTCCCTCCCTTACAGGCGATAGACATACACCCAACACACACAGACACACACACATACATACTGACGGTATAGAAAAAATTAATTCATTGTTTTTAGATCAACTGTTCAAATCAAAAAAAGCCATATTTTTATCAAAATTGTATTAGGAACATACATATATGTATATATATGCTGCTGACAGCTTGACAGTAAAAGTCAAAACCACTTTTTATACACAGATTTTCACAACTGTAAGTTTAGTTTCGTTTAGTTGTTTTTATTTCAAAAGAATTTCAAGTTTTTTTTGTTTTTATTGATACAAAGACACCTATGACCACCATTTGTGTATTTATTTGGACAGGTCATTCAATAATTTTATACAAATGTATGTATGCATCTCGAGTGTAAAATGATGTCTCTAAACTAAATTGTATATATATATATATATATATATATATATATATATATATAAAAGATAAAATACCCTGTTACCACAAAGATTGACCAGAAAAATTCATTTGTTTTAGTATATTATAGATGCAGTATTCGTACTTGATTGAAATTAATGGCGTCTAAAAATGGTTGATTATCTATCTCTAGTCAGTTAAAATACAACACAACGTTATGACATTTTTACCTAGAAATCATCAAATACACAGATAGTAGGAGGGAAAAATGCAAGAACATGAAACAACAATAATCATGGTCGATTTAATAATTTAGGTCTAAATAAATTTGAAGGCAACTTTGTTTTTTTTTAAATATATATTGTAAACTAGTAGAAAATGTTGATGTTGATATTTGAGTTTGTGACATACACACACACACACTCGCACACAGTAATTCATAATTCAAAATAATATACAATTAGGTAGACAGTTTTGGGAAGATTTGATTTTGTGTGAATATAGTTTTTATCATCATATTCGACCAGCTAGCTGTAAAACCAGTGAAAGCAGTTAAACAATAATATAACAATTTCGATATCATTTGATGAAACTTTTCAACAATGAGCACAAATGAAATCCAATCATCGAAGAACTATATCTTCCAATAGATATGATTGGTTGGAACATGACCATTTTTGTATTTCAACTTTTGGTAAGACCATGATATTAGTTTGATTTGATGATGATGCAAATGATGCCCAACCGTAGCTGCAACCTTGACGTGTTGGTGGTCGGGCTTGCCTATCG